TCAGTCACCTAACGATCAGTTCTGGTTTTTGCTAACGATGCTGATCTGTAGCGCTGAGCTAAAGGTAGAGTGTGAGCCGTTAGTCCAGGATGTGGGGGATATGCAGAGCTGCTTTCCTTTCCCTCACCCTACAGACCCACACATCCTCTGTCTGTCCTCTGGGCTAAACAGACTGAGTGACTGTGGCCTAGAAGGTTCCTAAAGTGCAGTTTGTTCTGGTTCTGAACAGTGTCCATGCTGGGTAGGGCTGGGCGATAAACCAGATTGTTTCCGTCATTCACTATAATAACCAGTTACGATCCTCCCATGTCGGTAAAAGAAATAAACGTAACTCTGCCGTTTTTCCTTTGTGCGCTGCTGGCAGGTATTTCCTTCCCCTTTAAAACACGGCAGCGTTTGGTGAACCACGTGACTCCGTCAGAAGCGTAAGCAAAGAGAATGGCGGATGGGTGAAATAGCTGTAAACTACATGACATCAGTTGATCCTGTGGAGCCGAGCGAGAGCAGAGATGAAGCTGAGCCACAGAGTTCAGCATGCGGCAGGCCGGTTTTTATTGAGGGTGTGCGAGTTTAAAGCAAGCTCACTGCACGCCATAGATGTTGAGCAAAGATGGCGACCCAAAGGAACACATCCAACCATCTCCATCTACATCACAGCCACGCTGTGGAGTTCAAAGGCTCCATTACCTTTGAGCAAACATGTTTTTCTCCTGTTCAATGAGACATTGTGGAACTTTCAATCAATAAATTATAAATAGATCATTTGCATTTCCTGCACATGCCTTTCCTTCTAATAGAGGAACAGGAGCAGTTATCGTTATCAAGGTACAACTGCCTTATTTACCGTGGTATTGATGTAAGGTCAAATCGCTCTGGCCTAAAGCTGGGGTGGGTCCCAGGAACCAGAGGAGTCCACATTAGACTCTGTGATGTTGAGGACGGCTGGAGGAGGCCTCAGAGCTGATGGAGGAGGAGCCGTAAATAACCTGCAGAGACTCTGGGACGTGCTCCACACCCGACAGTCAAAGGATTCAGAAGCACATGGAGAGGCGTCTGTAGCCGTTGTATCCATGACGACGCGTGCAGCAAACTGGCTCTGCCTGCAAACAGCCTGGATGGAAAACACGCCTCAAACTGCTGGAGTTTCTCCATAAAAGCAGACTCAGACTCCGGCTCTCCGCGAGATTTAGGGCTGCACCCAACGGTTACTTTGCAAATTGATTCATCTGTCAATTATTTTCAGATTAAGCAATTAATAACCAGATATCCATCTTGCAAAGATTAACCAGGTGAACCTAAAACTTTTCCACTTGAGGAGTTCTGGATTATAGAGCATGTTGACAGATGAAAAGGTTTTTAATATTACACTATATTGCCAAAAGTATTTGCTCACCCATCCAAATTATTGGAATCAGGTGTTCCAATCACTTCCATGGCCACAGGTGTATAAATTCAAGCACCTAGGCATGCAGACTGTTTTTACAAACATTTGTGAAAGAATGGGTCGCTCTCAGGAGCTCAGTGAATTCCAGCGTGGAACTGTGATAGGATGCCACCTGTGCAACAAATCCAGTCGTGAAATTTCCTCGCTCCTAAATATTCCACAGTCAACTGTCAGCTGTATTATAAGAAAATGGAAGTGTTTGGGAACGACAGCAACTCAGCCACGAAGTGGTAGGCCACGTAAACTGACGGAGCGGGGTCAGCGGATGCTGACGCGCATAGTGCGAAGAGGTCGCCAACTTTCTGCAGAGTCAATCACTACAGACCTCCAAACTTCATGTGGCCTTCAGATTAGCTCAAGAACAGTGCGCAGAGAGCTTCATGGAATGGGTTTCCATGGTCGAGCAGCTGCATCCAAGCCATACATCACCAAGTGCAATGCAAAGCGTCGGATGCGGTGGTGTAAAGCACGCCGCCACTGGACTCTAGAGCAGTGGAGACGCGTTCTCTGGAGTGACGAATCGCGCTTCTCCATCTGGCAATCTGATGGACGGGTCTGGGTTTGGCGGTTGCCAGGAGAACGGTACTTGTCTGACTGCATTGTGCCAAGTGTAAAGTTTGGTGAAGGGGGGATTATGGTGTGGGGTTGTTTTTCAGGAGCTGGGCTTGGCCCCTTAGTTCCAGTGAAAGGAACTCTGAATGCTTCAGCATACCAAGACATTTTGGACAATTCCATGCTCCCAACTTTGTGGGAACAGTTTGGAGCTGGCCCCTTCCTCTTCCAACATGACTGTGCACCAGTGCACAAAGCAAGGTCCATAAAGACATGGATGACAGAGTCTGGTGTGGATGAACTTGACTGGCCTGCACAGAGTCCTGACCTCAACCCGATAGAACACCTTTGGGATGAATTAGAGCGGAGACTGAGAGCCAGGCCTTCTCGTCCAACATCAGTGTGCGACCTCACAAATGCGCTTCTGGAAGAATGGTCAAAAATTCCCATAAACACACTCCTAAACCTTGTGGACAGCCTTCCCAGAAGAGTTGAAGCTGTTCTAGCTGCAAAGGGTGGACCGACGTCATATTGAACCCTATGGATTAGGAACGGGATGTCACTTAAGCTCATATGTGAGTCAAGGCAGGTGAGCAAATACTTTTGGCAATATAGTGTATTTTACAATCTTGGTATAGTTTCTGCTCTAAGTGGGTCGCTCTGTCAGCTAAACGCATGTTTTACTAAATTACTTGATTATTTCAACAATCATATTAATCTGATTGTTTCATCCCTCCTGATTGATGCTGTCTGAACCCTAAATGATCCATCTCCTCTACTATGGTAGTTAATGTGGTGATTTATTGGCAGCAATGAGCTAAAGCTGATCTTTTACAAAAATGTTTTTCTTCTAATAATCTAACTGTAAAGTAAAGATCTTAGCAGTGAACTGAGCTACCGGCTGCCGGTAGTGAAAAGGTAAGATCCTCACACTCTGATCTTAGCAGCAGGAAATGAATGTTTTCTGTTCTTCCTCTTTAACCTCCAGAATCGGTAAACCCTGGTGGAGTGGCGTAATAATGCTGTGTCTCATCCTGACCCTTCGCTGTCTCTTGTCATTCTGTCCCTCATCCAGTCCAGCCGTTGGTTGAGGCCTTATTCTAGCGCCTTCCTCCTCCAGCCACTATGTCGGGCTTCAATCTGCTGCATCTAATAACCAAGAGTCCGCCCGTATCTCTGCGGTCCTGCAGTCTCCCCTCAGGTCCACTGACGGCGTGCTGTGTGCTTGTCTGGCTCTGCCTGCATTAACACATTAACATGTTGCTGTGCTGTGCTTTTCTAATCTGAACTAATCCTTTTCTAGCTCAGACTTAGTGAAAACGACCAGGAAAGGCTCATAGTTAGATTAGTTTCTCAGTCTATTAACAGGCAGTCATTCAACTGATTTAAAATGGAAGTAATTGAATAATCTGAAGGGATTATGGATCATTGGTTGTAAAGGCATTGACACTAGAGAACTTCCTGATTACAGTTTGTCGTTGGGAGAAGATCAATCTTCACTTTTAAGCATCCAGGATTCACTTTGATGATGTAATAATGAGCATCCTCATCAACCTGTGGATCACTTCTGCTTCCTGAACCTTCATCAGGACCAGAGCTGGTCCTGATGAAGCTCACATAGATTCTGTTCAGAAGAAGGCCCCTCAGAGGAGGTTCTGGAAACCATGACCTTCTAGAGGATGCATTGGTGTTATCCCCACACTGCTTCTGTTTGCTCCTCCATCTCTAACCAGGGTTCCATCCACCTTCCCTCCATTCAGGACCTCTAAAGTCCAGGAAAATGGCCGCCAACATCTCTGCAGACCCTAAGCCAGGAGTGCCCAAAGTCGGACCTCGAGGGCCGAATCCTGCAGGGTTTTATCCCTGTGCTGAATCAGGAAACATCTAAACCCTGTAGGACTGACTCTGGACATGCCTGCCTTGAACTAATTTAAAACAAGCTGTCACTGTGCCTCTCTGTATTAAATATATATTTTATCAAGGTGTTTTCTTCCTGTTATGTTGAAATACTAATGGTTTGCATCCAATTATTTAATTAAACGGTCTTAGTTTTGGGGAATATATAAGATTATGCTCTAATTTGTAGTTACTAATCTGTCGTTGCCATTTTTTACTTTGACAAACCGGATCTTCTTGACGTTCCTTGACGTATGTGGACAGTGATGTGCGGAGAAGTAGCAGGATGCAGCTCCAGGGGGGTACGGTCTTTTGGGACCCGGCTACAGGGCAGTACGGTCTTGTAGGATGCGGCTCCAGGGCGGTACGGTGTCTCGGGACGCAGCTCAAGGGCGGTACCATCTCTTGGGACATGGCTCCAGGGCGGTACAGTCTCTCGAGATGCGGCCCCATGACGGTGCCGTCTCTCGGGACACGGCTCCAGGGCGGTACGGTCTCTCGGGAAACTACTTCCGGGGCTGTACTGTCTCTCAGGACGAGGCTCTTGAAACAACTGCGGATAGAAACACTGCTTTGGGATTATTCTCTATGCAGAGCCAACTTTTGTAGTAGAAGGACGAGTCCTTGTTCAGCTGCAGCATGAACGCCGTCTAGTAAACTGGAGCTGGAAAGCAGCGGTCTCTGATCTCTGAACCTAATCCTGCATCATAACAGAACCGCATTGGGAATAAAAACAGCTATTAGCTGGAGGTTTTCCTTATGCTTTGGATGCGGAGTACAGTTAGCTTTGCTCACATTGATGGTCCTCGTGAACCTCCCAGTTCTTCTTTTTATCTTTGTTCTAAAGGTTTAGGACGGGTTTACTTCCTGGCTTTGCTGCAGCTTGCATGCTATCAGCGACTGCCTCCAACTCTGGGATTTTCTTCAGTGTTTTAAATGTCTAGAATAATCTGCCTTTTAGACAAGTTTCATATCAAGCAGGAAGTATTATTTATAAAGTTCCTGGACTTTAACGCACAAAGGAGACTAAAAACAGCCAGATCCTTTAAGAACGGCAGTCTTGGTGTTAATCTGACCTAAAATCCAACTGGAATACATCAGAGTCTGAAAACATTTAGTGTGGATCATTGGCAGAGTTCAGATGGATCAAAGCAGAGGTTGGGCTGGTCAGAGGACAGGACACAGTTTCAATGCACTACAGACTTACTGACTGTTTCTGTGCCAGAGACGACATCCAATCACATTTTTTTCTCTGCCTTCGTTTGTAGGAGCTTGCAGGACTAAGAAGACATGGCCAGTGAGTTACTCCAAGGAGGAACTGACGAAACGCCTCACCCCAAAGCAGTACCATGTCACCCAGGAGAGAGGCACCGAGAGGTCAGTTTGTCTATCAGCTGAAGAACAGATAAAGCAGATGTTCTTCCAGAACCTTCCTCCATGTCCATAACTGACGGTGTTTCCCTCACAGCGCCTTCACTGGGGAGTTCACCGACCATAAAGCCGAGGGGACGTATCACTGCGTGGTCTGTGGGGCCCCTCTCTTCAGGTGGGTGGAATATGGGTCCGTCTGCTCGCCTACAGGTGGTCCAGGCGTTACCCAGACCCAGAGTTTCAATAAGTTCATGTTTTATTCAAAGAGATGACGTTGCCATGGTAACGACAGCAGCGCCCAGAGAAAAGAAAAACCCTGACGGCAGCTTTCTCTGTTCTTTCACAGCTCGCAGTCTAAATTTGACTCAGGATCAGGTGAGCAGAACTTCTCCCAGCGTTCTGAGCCGTACCTCCATCTATTCTGCTAATGCTAATACTAGCGGCTTTGGTATTCAGGAGTTTTTTTGGACTCAACGCAGTATGCTGGCTCGTTAGCTCGTTACACTTAGCAATGGCTCTGTTGATGTTCAGGTTGGCCATCCTTCTTCGATCTCCTGAAGGACGAGTCCATCGCTCTGTCTGATGACTTCTCCTACGGCCTGCACAGAGTAGAGACCACCTGCAGTCAGGTAAGCTACTAACTTCTTCCTTTGGTAAAGTCGTCTTAAACTTCCAGTTGATGGAAGCATCTTAGGTCATATTTAATTCCTTACAGATTGTAATTATCTTTACAGAAAGCTGCATTTCTGAGGGGAAGTTAATTAAATGTTAAAGCGTTAATATCACAGAGGTGACACTCTGTCTAGTTTAAGGTGGTTCGGTGTGTCGCAGTCAGGTGGTGATGGACAGGAAGTGACAAGAAAAAGAATTTATGTAGTCTGACAGAATCTGTGTAAAATAAGTTATTAAACATCATTTAATGTTGTAAAAAAAGTGCTAGCATGGATCCCTGTGGTACTCCATGGTAACTATGGTAACCAGGAAGCATCCGTCCGGGCTCATGTCAGCCAGAAAGCAGCTCTGACTGGTTCTGACCCGTCGCTCAGTACCAGTGAATCCTTCTGTTTCAGTGCGGCGCCCATCTGGGTCACCTGTTCGACGACGGCCCCAAACCTACGGGAAAGCGCTACTGCATTAACTCCGCCTCTTTGGCGTTCCAGCCCAAAGAGACGTCAGAGGGAGCCTCAGGAGGCGCTGAGCCGGCCGCGAAGCAAGAACTTTAGAAGAACCCAGGAGCTGTGGCTGCGGGAAGCGAAGAAAGAAAGATGCTGCTTTTATTTTTGTTGTGCAGAGAGAGCGTGGCTAGCAGCGGTAAAGTTAGCACACCCAGCTAAAGGGCCATGGTTCCATTCCCAGGATCCTTTAGTGATTTTTAAACAGGAAGCATTGGATGCCGTCAGCAATCATCTTTAGGACAGGTTAAGGCGCTGAAGGTTTTTGTTGCCATGGCAACCACCTGCCACAGCTATATGTAGCTTTTTTCTTATTTAGCCTAGGAGGAGGATTTGCATGTTTGATTTCTATTCTATAAGCAGACTGAATTCAGTCTTTGTTTTCCTCTGGTTTCACTGAAAGGATGATGATGATGATGATGATGATGATGATGATGATGATGATGATGATGATGATGATGATGGTCACTGAGAAGTGAGGACATCTATGCAACTGTTTGTTTTCTGACTGTTTCCTCCATCTTTCAGGTCAAACATATCCAGTTGTTTGGTTTTGATTTGCTTCTACTTTATATCTGCAGTGTGTCTGAAAACCATGTTGAATAAAAAGTATTTAAAAGGAGGCTGATGTTTTTATTTCTAAGCGAAGCTTTGATTATTTATTTTTCCTGGTCATGACCAACAGGTTTGTTCTGATCTATCATTTTCAGGGGGACTTAAAACTTTTAAAATAAAGATAAATTCATAATTTTGTCACAGACTGGCTGGTTCATAGCATCAGTGATTACCATACTAACTTTATTTATAAAGCACTTTATACACAGACAGGACAGGACCAAAGTGCTGTACACAATCATAAAATACATGCAATTATAAAATAGAAAGGATCGAGTATAAAATACATAGTATGCAAACAGAATAAAACAAACCTCTCAAATTGTGCCAAAAGCCAAAGAAAAAATATGAGTCTTAACAAGGAACTTTAAAATAGCAAGAGAGGAGGCCTGTCTTCTGCTCAGAGGCAGATCGTTCCACAGCTTAGGAGCTGCCACAGAAAAAGCACGGTCCCCTCTGAGTTTCAGAAGAACAAATCAGCTGACCTGAGGGAACGGGAGGGTGTGTGAGAATGTAACGGCTCAGACAGATTAACTTTAACTTAGAATAAAAAAAAACAGGCCCATCTCATTGCATAGTCATTATGAAGTCAATAAATCATGTAATATAACATATACAAATCCATCACAATAAAAAGAATGTGTTAATGGCGCAGAATAATACAGATGAGCCAAAGGTGCTAAATTGATGATGTACATGTAATATACATGAATTGATTACATTTTTATGGTATGTAATCTACATATGATTTCAAGATTTTAAGACTGAATTACTAGTACATGTCTGTTAATGCTGTAGCATTTTTCTATTTGCAAATTATGCATAAATGTTGCCATATCATTTATACTCTGCCTTTAAATCTGATAGATTTACATAAAGCTAAATTAATGAACCAATTTAATAACTCTACAGTTATTAAATAGGTAAAATTCAGGCAACATCAACTTCATATTTTGCTTTTTGCTCATAGTTACAGCAAGAATCTGATCATTTTGAAAAAACAAGTATATATGCACACACAGACACACACAGTCCAGTGATTGAATAACTTTATTAAAATAACTTCTACGTGTGTAAATTCACATTCAAATAAACATATATTTGCATTTAAAAAAAGGAACACACAGTGAATTACTTTCTATTTCCTCTATTTTCTAACGTCAGACCCAATGTCAATGTTTAACTCAGTCAATGTCTTCCAGTCTGAGATAGCCAGACTAATGTTAGTCTCCAGACTATACTATAGGATGTATCGGCTATAGATGGATTTATTGCTTAGTTCATCCACTGACTGGGAAATGACCTGTTGAACATCTTCCTGCAGCCAGAAAACTGCTGGTTTATGCAGCAAAATGCTGCACAGGGAGGCACGTCTCTGTGGGAGTGGGGAGTACCAAGATGGCGGCTGGTGGCTTTACTGTTTCCTGGTAATCAGCAATCCAGTGAATAAATACAGATCAGTAGTTTCACAGAGCAGCTCAGTCCTTTATTAACAGAGGAACATGAGTAGAAGATGGCTTCCATCATTTCATGGGAATAATAATAAACCCAAATATGCTCAGAGGAGATAAATAACAACAGAAGAATTAAAAGTCAAATGCAAAACAAAGAAAGGTCAGTTAAGCATTTAGCTTTAGACTGATTATCAGTTTTCCATCTTCCCTCTGTGCAGATGAGGGTAGAGAACCTGCAGGTTTGACTCCAGCAGCAGTTCAAATTAAAGTAGTGCTGAATATTTAATGGCTCCTAAAACCTGTTAATGTTTAAAATAATAACATCAAACAGGAAGTTCTGGTATTTCATCCCATAAACTAAAATAAATACAAATAAATGTGATTCATATAGGGAAGCTGGTCAGGATGACCATTCTGTAATGAGTGCAAACAGCAGCGGGGGTTTTGGCGCCCTCCTGTGGACAGCTCAGCTCCCCACGTGATCGATCACGTGGAGGAAGCAGCAGGCATCGTGTCGATAGCTGTCAGCCCGGTGAAGTCCTCCATCAGAGCGGATTGTTGTGCTGTGGGAGATCCGGGATGTCCAGCATGAGTGGCAGGAACCCTGGAGCGGTCCTCGGTGAGCCTCAGCACATCACAGCAGACTGAGGCACGAGCGGTTAATGACCTGCAGGCGCGTGAGGAGGGAGGAGCTTAGCACTGCTATTAATTCTCATTACTTTAAAAACACTTTCTGACGCAAGTTTGGTTTTATTTGGGTTTTATTCCAGCTCGGTATAATGACGTCATTATGAGAAAGAGGATAATAGAAGCAGGCAGAGCATGGCGGAGTGTCAGAGCCGCTCAAAGACAAGATTAAACATTTAATTTAGATTAAAGTAGATTATTAACCAGAATAAACGCGCATGTCTACGAGTAAAAACCACTGATCTGTGTTTATTCCCTGGATCTATGACTGTCCTTCGGTAGAACGGGGTGGAATGAAGCCACCGGCCGCCATATTAGTACTCCCATTCTGACTCCCGGCCAGCTACAGCAGCAACCATGATGTTCACAATTTTAGAGAGATTTAATACTTTTAAATTCTATTTAGTTTATTTCTATAGCTCCAATTCACATCTTGACATCTCAAGGCACTTTACAGTTCACCTCATTGACTCTTCAGCAATCCCTCACATTAAGCATGCTTGCAGCGACAGTGGAGAGGAAAAACTCCCTTTTAACAGGAAGAAACCTCCAGCAGAACCAGGCTCAGTGTGAGCGGCCATCTGCTGAGGCCGACTGGGGTTCAAGGAGACAGAAGCAGAGACACAAAAAGCAGCTGTAAAAGGCGGCCCCGTCCAGGAAACACACAGCCAGGCAGACGAGCTCCGAGCCAGCTCCCATGTCAGAGGATGAGGAGAGCACATCCAGTTAATCACAGTCAGAGAAACAGGACCACACTGGAAAACAGGCCAAGCTCCAGCATCTAGAAACAAAGGTGTTGTTAAAATAAAGATATTTCTTCACCTCGACACACACTAAAAAAAGAAACACACAATGAATGGCTTTCTATTTCCTCTACTTTCTATTTTCTAATGGTAGACCCAATGTCTAACTCAGTCAATGTTTTCCAGTCGGTCTGAGATAGCCAGACTAATGTTAGTCTACAGACTATACTATAGGATCCATCGGCTATAGATGGATTTAATGGTTAGTTCATCCACTGACTGGGAAATGACCTGTGGATCATCTTCCTGCAGACAGAAAACTGCTGGTTTATGCAGCCAAATGCTGCACAGGGAGGCATTTTGCTGCACGTCTCTGTGGGAGTGGGGAGTACCAAGATGGCGGCTGGTGGCTTCCAGTGATTAAATAGAGATCAGTGGTAAAAACACACAAAATAATCCATACAAATATGAGTAGAAAAGTAGCTAATTTGCAAGATTTTAATATTTGCATTTACAGAACAATGTGAGATTATAATGCATGTTATACTGCGTAAAGCACATGCATCATTAATTGGGAGCTTTAGAGATGGAATGAGGCGGTACAATTGCCTTATGGACGTTTTTAAAATAAAAATGAATGATACAATAAATTTGTATGTTTATAATCTCACAAATTTGGCTGTTTTTCATCGCAAATCTGTTTGTTTATTCTGGTCAATATGCAAATTTAAACCAAAAAATTCAATTTTTTTGGTTTTGTCTCTGAATGGTTCTGATACGTGTCATACAGATAATGTAGTTTGGGAGATCAGAGTCATTTATCGGATTAAAAACCGTCTATGTCTGTGTTGGAATCAGACCTGGAATCCTTATCCAAGGTGAGAGTTAATACCCAGGCTGTCCTGAAGAGGGCGCAGCACATCCAGGGCCTGAAGCTTCCTAAGAAGCAGTGGCAGGTGAGCTCCTCCATAATCAATGTGCTCCATGCATGTTGCTGATGTTCACAGCGGTTTCCCTGTTTCCCTGCAGGCGGCTTGGCTGCTGAAGGCCGTTTCATGCATCGATTTGACCACGCTGGCTGGAGACGATACGCCATCAAATGTTCACCGACTCTGCATGAAAGCCATCCAGCCGGTCCGATACGACCTTCTGAAGAAACTGGATATGCACGACAAAGGCGAGGCCTGCTGGAGGCATTCAGTCTCTTAAATTAGAGTTTTATTTCATTAAAGGTTTAGTTCTATTTCTGGGTGGATCATCTAAATCAGTGGTCCTCCTAACTGTCAATCATTCTGGTGATATGTTTACTTTAAGGCCATCCTACGTCCCCATGTTCACTAACCAATGGTGAGTCTGACATAGTGGAAAAACTGCTAATCTTCTTTGGGAAAGTTAACCTGTATGAGCGATGCAACCAGCAACTTTTAAACAGAGCGTGCACGAGGAGAAATACGTGTTCCCTCCCTGGAACGGGTTCAGGGTTGTGCATGTGCGTTTGTTTTTTTAAGTAGGGCGGGTCAAAAATTCATGAAAATCTTCCACTATACCTTTAATCCAAATTGTTTGCAGAAAGGCAGTGAAAAGTCAGCCCGAAACGGTTAAGAGGGAAAGCAAACAATGACGAGTACTGAAGATATAAAGCAAAGTTTGCTCATCAGTTTGGAAACGACTCACTTTGGTTATTTTACCTGGAAACAGTATTTATCTGTTAGCATAGCAACAGTAATAACATTCCACACATGCTTGTTTGTCTTCATTAGAGGAATTTTGAAATGAGACAGAACTCTAGAAGCTTAAGCAACATTAGCAGCTTTACTAGCTTTAGCAATTTTAGCAACCCTAGCAGCTTTAGCAATGTCAGTAGCTTTAGCGGCTTTAACGTAAGCACCTTTAGCAACGCTAGCAGCATTAGCAACGTTAGTAGCTTTAGCAGCTTCAACATTAGCAACTTCGGCAATGCTAGCAGCTTTAGCAATGTTAGTAGCTTTAGCATCTTTAACGTTAGCACCGTTAGCCATGTTAGCAGCTTTAGCAACGTTAGTAGCTTTAGCATCTTTAACATTAGCACATTTAGCATGCTAGCACCTTTAGCAATGTTAGCAGCTTTAGCAACTTTAGTTGCTTTAACAGCTTTAACATTAGCACCTTTAGCAATGCTAGCAGCTTCAGCAACGTTAGTAGCTTTAGCATCTTTAGCATTAGCACCTTTAGCATGCTAGCGCCTTTTGCAATGTTAGCAGCTTTAGCAACATTAGTTGCTTTAACAGCTTTAACGTTAGCACCTTTACCATGCTAGCACCTTTAGCAATGTTAGCAGCTTTAGCAACTTAAGTTGCTTTAACAGCTTTAACGTTAGCATCATTAGCAACTTTAGCAGCTTTAGCCACCTCAGGAGCTTTAGTAAGTTTAGCATGTTTAGAAACTAGCAGCTTTAGGAGCTTTGGCAACTTTAGCAATGTTAGCAGGTTTAGCAACCCAAAGGAGCTTTAGTAACTTTAGCAGCTTTAGCATCTTTAGCAACTTTAGGAGCTTAAGCAGCTTTAGCATTTTTAGCAGCTTTAGCAATGTTAGCAGCTTTAGCAGCTTAAGCAGCTTTGGCAGCTTTAGCAACATTAGCAACTTTTGCAGCTTATCAACTCTAGGAGCTTTAGCAACTTTAGCAGCTTTAGGAGCTTAACCAGCTTTAGCAATTTAGCATATTTAGCAACATTAGCAACTTTAGCAGCTTTAGCAACATTACCAGCTTTAACCATCCTAGGAGCCTTAGCAACTTTAGCAGCTTTAGGAGCTTAAGCAGCTTTAGCAATTTTAGCATATTTAGCAGCTTTAGCCACCTCAAGAGCTTTAGTAACTTTAGCAGCTTTAGCAACTTTAGGAGCTTAAGCAGCTTTAGAAATTTTAGCAGCTTTAGGAATGTTAGCAGCTTTAACATTAGCACCTTTAGCATGCTAGCACCTTTAGCAATGTTAGCAGCTTTAGCAACGTTAGTCGCTTTAATAGCTTTAACGTTAGCACCTTTAGCAATGCTAGCAGCTTCAGCAACGTTAGTAGCTTTAGTATCTTTAGCATTAGCACCTTTAGCATGCTTGCAGCTTTAGCAATGTTAGCAGCTTTAGGTACATTAGCAGCTTTAGGAACGTTAGCAGCTTTAGGAACGTTAGCAGATTTAGCAGCTTTAAGGTTAGCAGCTTTAGCAACCCTAGGAGCTTTAGCAACTTTAGCAACATGTGCAACTTTTGCAACTTTAGCAGCTGTAGCAGCTTTAGCAATATTAGCAACCTTTGCAGCTTTAGCAACCCTAGGAGCTTTAGCAACTTTAGCAGCTGTAGCAGCTCATCTGGTCGCTGTGTAGCCCAGCAGTATTTTTGTAAGCCATGATGGAGCAGAATAATGGAACTAAGGTCATTTTTAATCAGTTTAATCAAAGAATGCAAAGATGCAGATTCTTAAGAGCGAATTGTCGACACGTTGAAAAGATCAGCAGTAAACCAGGCGGTAAGTGGCAGCCATAGCTTTAATCGTTGGGAGGAACGCTGAGATTCCAGCTGTAAACAGCTTCCCTCATCAGACCTGTAGACTGATTCATCTGTTCATGCCTGAGTTCTGCCTGTAGAGGGTGCCATAAACCAGTTCACCAGCATGACTCTGCCTCTCCATGCCCTGCAGGACTAACAACAGCAGCGGTGTGTGTGTATCCGTCCCGTGTGGCTGACGCCTCTAAATCTCTGAAGGCAGCCAACTCCGGCCTCCCTGTTGCCTCTGGTGAGTCAGCCGGAAGCTTCTCTGCTCGTTCAGGTCAGAGCTTCCTGAAGAACTGTGATTTTCCCATTCTTCCCAGTTGCCACTGGATTCCCAGCTGGCCAGACGCCCCTGGAGACCCGCCTCCAAGAAGTCCGTACCGCTGTGAGAGACGGCGCTACGGAGATCGATATCGTCATCAAAAGGACCCTCGCTCTGACAGGACAGTGGGAAGGTAAACTATTCATTTTTTACATGAATTTATGGTTCTACAGAATAAAGACGTTAAATGGACTGAACAGTTTATCTTTGACTGCATAGAAGACCCCTAAATGACTGCAGAGGCTAAATCTGCCCCATAAAACATAAAAACAGCATCAGTTTGATATTATAGTTAAATGTTCTACATGAAATGCATCCCTGCTGCCACCTGCTGGTCTAGAGGAGAACTGCAGGTTCCAGAGGGGCAGCCCTGCCTTCAGGTTAAGCTAATCTTTTAATAAATAAAGCCTTTAGCAGAACCCACTGGTTTCTCCACCTGAGTTCAGTTCCAAGATCCAAACACCATTAAAAATGTAATCATTATTATTGTCAGGATGGCACTAAAACCAGTTTAGTGTGAGCTGTTGGTTCTGGGTCTTTATGCTGGAAGATCATTGCTGTTGTTTCTTTCCTGTTATCCCTTTCCCAGTGGCTGAAAAACCGGTTTAAACCCGATAACAATCAGCTTTTAGTGTAAAGTAGGGATTAAATCCACCATGATGACTCTGATACTAACAGCAGAATTCAAGGTATGGCTCGCCAAGATGGCGCTGTGCATGGAGCAGACCGTTACGTCAGCTCCCTTATCTCCTTTCCTGCTTTCTGAGCCGACCGCTGCTTCAAACCTTCTCTGACTCTGTGGTGGCATCAGTCCTCCTCTACGCTGTCGTCTGCTGGGCTCCTGGCAGCGCAGAGCGGGACAGAAAGAGGCTGAACAAACTGGTGAGAAAGGCCGTTTCTGTCCTAGGCTGCACTCTGGACTCTGAGAGGAGGCTGCTGTCCAAGCGTCCATCCATCATGGACGCCACCTTCCACCCTCTGCAGCAGACTGGAGAGGAGCTGAGCTGCTCCTTTAGTCAAAGACTTTTACAGCCTGTTTGGAAAAAGGAGCGCTGCTGCAGGTCATTCATCCCTGCTGCAACCAGACTCTACAATGAGACGCTACAACCGCAATAACTGCTGCAATGGAGAATAATTACTATTTAATACCCTGTGAAATAACCTGTTTCTCTATATCTGACACCCTGAGCAATTAATATATATATAAATATCCATCTATATAAACACCCTGGGCAATAACCCTGGATAATAGAAAAATAAACCTGTCCTATGTGGACACACTGTTTATACTGTATATATCCCCTGCACCTTTATCTTCCTTTGGCTCCTCCTCCTTCTTCTGTGACAATTTGAGCTGATGGAACGAGTAAATTTCTACATTGTGAGATCAATAAAGTCAATCAATCTATCAATAAATGGAAAAACAATCAGCCTTAATTAAACTGTGCTTCTTCTCCCTCTGCAGCCATGTACAGCGAGGTTCGCCAGTTCCGACAGGCCTGTGGCGACGCCCACATGAAGACCATTCTGGCTACTGGAGACCTGGGAACCTTCACCAACATCTACAAAGCCAGCATGGTGGCCATGATGGCTGGTCAGTCCAACAACAAACACCTTTTAATGTCACCGAAGGCCGTAACTGCTTCGGTTTTAGAACACAGAAACAAACCAACTGACTTTGATCGTCTGTCATGATGTTCACCAGCTGTAGGCGTGAAAATCTATCCATGCCTTCATCTCCCAATTCTGATCAGAAACATGGAAGCTCGTTTATCCCAGCGGTCAGTTAGAAGGAATTCCTTTAAAGGAAAAGTTCACTCAGCGAGGAATAATCAATGGATCATTATTTATACCTAAAACTAAAACATTTGCAGTTATTCAATAAATTTAGCTTTAATCAGTAAAAAAAACAACTATAATTTTCGCAGTGACGTCACGGTGCGGTAAGCCTAGCGCCATTCTCCCCGCTTTCCAAGCTAAATCAATGGGAACTACTAGACACATCTGCAATCAACAACAATTATTGAAGATTTCCAGAGGACTTCACCATTGAAATTCACCAGAGCTATAGTGAAACTGACAATGCCCACGTGCATGGCAGCTGGATGCTGGAATACATCGGGGGAAAAATAAGTTATTCCACCTTTCTGATTCCTGATCCTCCACGGACGGGTTGGTCGTTGGATCACCAACTTGAAGAGGGAGGATTTGCCATCGAACTTCTGGCCAGAGAAAAAGCCCGTAATATGTAGCCAACATTTGGAAGAAGAATGTTTTCAAGATGACTTGGATAATAGCGCGTTGTGACAAACACCAGATACAGCACTGGGACTTGATCAACAGCCGATACCGCACCGTGACAATGTCACTAACCAGTAGGTGGCAGTAGTGTTCTTTGACAAACATGGATGCCTCCAGTAAAACACATTCACATGGAAATTACTCTGAATTAAAAACACTGATCATTTATTGAACAGGATGGAAGAATTTCAGATTTAAAGAACTTTCAGAAGTTTGAATTCTGAATATGAGCGACTTTTACTTTAAGATAGAAGGAAAAATGATGGAGATAAATCCCAGCAGAGAGATGAAGGTTATTGAAGACATGGCAGGAAAAATGAACTATTTTAAAATATTTGACCCAGAGAGAAAAACAGCACAATAAACCAGTAGCTGATAGAGCTAGCAGCGCTAAAGATTCCCCCACTTATCTAAAGGCAACATTCGTTCATCAGAAGGAAATCCTAAATCAGTTAAAATAAGGATATGGATGCAAACTAAACATCTATGATAGGTGGTTTTATTCACAGAAGCTTTATGATAAAATCTTTAAACTAAATCACCTTCACAGTCACTCCTCTGTTGCTGTATCATAAAAAATCCTCTAAAATACTTACAGGTTTGTTGTTGTTAAAATAAAGGTTTCTAAAAGTTTAGTCAACATAAATTCAGAAGGTGAAGGTGTTAATATTCACACATGAATGTACTGGTGGCGTCACACAGTAATCCGATTACAGAAGCAGACTGTCTGTTAGATCGAGCTCATTATTTTAATGCATTGGTTTTAATCTGCCACTGTTCCTATAAATTCCTCAAATGAAATAATAATTTAAGCTATTAATCTGGGATGTGTGCTATTTTACCGTCTATTCTCTGCTGGCGTCGCTCTAAATGAATAGACCTTTTAGCACCCACATTAGCCATTATCTGGTAATTAACTTTCCCCATAATGAATCTTTAAGAATGTGCCAGTTTGAGAAAAGGATAAAAAAAAAAGATCCAAAGAGAAATTTGTAGAACAACGTCTGTAATGAGCGAGGAAATGTTGAACTTGTTCCAGTTGTCAGCGAGCAGATGAACGGTCACCATCCATTACAACCACAGGAGGACTTTCAGGGTGCGGCCTGCAAAATAGGAGGAGTATTTTTAGCAAGAAAGCCGATAAAACAGAAAGTGAAAGGAGGAGACAGAATGATTGGAATGGAGGATATTTTTATTCATCTTTGATCAGGATGACGGCTTCATGTCTGGCAGAGCTTCTGGTCTGCAGCAGAGTTTCTCTCTGGCTTCCCAAAGAGGCAGCAGGTCCTGCACACCAACCAACTAATCTAATACACGCTGCAAAACATCTAAATCTAAATCGTTTCTTTCTGGAGTTGGGGAGGTAAGTGAGACACTTTGCCAATGGAACAAGACAATTTACATTTAAAGTAAGAAAAAACAACTGAATTGTCTTATTTCAGGTGCAGATTATCTAATTATCTTATTCTAAGAGAATAAATCCTCCTTCCATCGGCACATTATCTTATTTACCTGCTCTATTTTAGAGGAAATACACTAAATGTAAGACCTTTGACTTATTTTTAGATAATGTTTGCAGTGTAAAGCCATGTTTAAAGTATCCAGAGCATCAGATAGAGGCGAGTTTCTAACTCCATTGGTTCTACGTTTTGGAAAAGTGAACCAGCAGCTTGATTTCATCCGTGGAGGATGTGGCGTCTGTGGATCTTCCCAGAATCTCCGCCCTGAAATTCCACCAACAGCAATTTCTGCCTAACATAGAATAGAGAAACGCTTTATTGACCCACAATGGGGAAATCGTGGTGTTATAGCAAAAAAAGTGGAATAAGTGACAGAATTAGAATAATAAACAAATAAAATCCTTTACTGTAGCGTGTTTTAACAATATCAAACTAGAGAATAAATAACCAATATGCAGCTATGGACGTTTTTACAGTAATGAATATTTGAAAATAGCAGCAACATCAGAGATGTGCAGAATGACAGCAGCAGGTTATTTAACTGACTAAGGTAGAAACTGAGCAGAATCAGCATGAATGGAACAACTGATTGAGGTTGTTGGGAACAGTGGTGGTTCTAGAGTCTTCCAGCTGCTGGGAGGAAAGATCTGTGATAACGCTCCCTGGTGCATTTAAGGAGCAGCAGTCTGTCACTGAAGGAGCTCTCCAGTTCAGCACCTGCTGAACCAGCATGGGGGGGGTGAGACATCATCCAACAGAGATATTCATTTAGTTAGGATCCATCTGTTTCCCGCCTCCTGCACTGAGTCCAGAGGGCATCCAATCACAGAGCAGATCTGCGTTGCAGCTGCTTCCTTCCAACCAACGGACCAAAGAAAAGCTTCAAACAGTCAATAAAACAAGAATAAAACATTATGAGAACCATTAAAACTTCTCAGTAAACACCTGCTGCTCAGATGTTCCTACTAGTGAAAGTCCGACCAGCTGTGGAGATGAGGAAGGAGAAGACTTCTTAAAGTTGTCACGTTCCTCCTTTATAGTCCGTATGAGCCAGTGTGAATCAGCTGGAATGCTGTTAAAAGCAGAAACATCAGAATCTGCATCACATGCTCTCTCCATCCCAACAGGTTCAGACTTCATCAAGACTTCTACAGGAAAGGAGGCCGTCAATGCTACTTATCCTGTTGCCATAGTGATGGCCAGAGCTATCCGTGACTACTACTTGCGTACTGGCCACAAGGTAAAGTGTTTGTTTATCTATACAGGTCATTAAGAATCAAAAATCTATGTGTTGATGATTATTCAATTCAGTTCAGTTTATTTCTATAGCCCCAATTCACATCATGTCATCTCAGGTCACTTTCCAGTTCACCAGATCATCCAGTCAAATCAAACAATCAGTTTTCTATCTAAGGAAAACCAGCTGATTGCATCGACTCATTGACTCTTCAGCAATCTCTCACACTAAGCATGCTTGTAGCGACAGTGGAGAGGAAAAACTCCTTTTGAACAGGAAGAAACCTCCAGCAGAACCAGGCTCAGTGTGAGCGGCCATCTGCTGAGGCCGACTGGGGTTCAAGGAGACAGAAGCAGACATAGAAAAAGAAGCATAGATACAAAAGGCAACTGTCAACCAGCTCCACAGGCGGCCCCGTCCAGGAAGCACACAGCCAGGCAGACGAGCTCCGAGCCAGCTCCCATGTCAGAGGATGAAGAGAGCACATCTAGTTAGTCACAGTCAGAGAAACAGGACTACACTGGAAAACAGGCTGATCTCCAGCATCTATAAACAAAGGTGTTGATGGCAGCAGCACAGCTGATATTTCTCTCCAGGATGGAGTCACAGCCAAACAGGAACAGACCAGATGAAGCTACTATGAGAAAAAGCAGAGAGAGCAGAACGTTAGAGATTGAACTAATAGATTCTGCTGAGTGGGAGAATAGAGATAGAATGAAGCAGAATGATGAAAAAGGGGTCCCTATGTCCTCCAGCAGTCTAAGCCTATAGCAGCAGAACTATAGAGATAGCTGAGGATAACCTCCATTCAATACCTATTAATTTATTAACAAAAAATGGTTGATTATGCTGAAAATTAGCTGAAGATATTTGCTTTTGGTGACATCATAGTTACCAAGGAAACAGCAGAAAGAGTCACGTAGAAAGCTTTGGTTCTGTTTAAGGCAGAGTTCCCCTCAAACTCCAGATGTCATTTAGAAGTTGGATTTTAGCCTAAATCTGGTCGTTCCATCAAAGTCAGGATCTAGTCTAGAAATAGTCGTTGAAAATTGGACGGTCTAATTTTAATTATTTTTCCTTAGTTTCTGTTTAAGTTAAAGTTCCTTCCTTTTCCTGGTTTGGCTCCTCAGAGGGGCGCGGCAGGAAGGGCTCCAATGCAACTGGAGCAAACTAAGATGATCAGGGGGGTCGTTTTGGATGAGTTGTGTTGGATTTGATGGGTTTTTGTGATTGACTTAAAATTTGTTGAATTGTATTGATTGTATGTATGTAAATATTATTTTGGTTTTATAGTTGAATGTTTTGGTCTAGGTTTGTATGTGTAATAATTGAGCTTCTTTTTCTTAATAATCTCTTTTCATGGTTCCTTCCTTCATCTCACCTGAACTGAGTTTGGTATAACCTGCTGTTTGTTCTTTTTAGTGTAACAAGATGTTGCTGTTCACAAGCTAGAGTTCAATACAGCCACCAAAAAAATAATTTTTTTCCTGCCTCTCAATATGATATTGGGTCTCCGCCGGTCAAGCTGACAGTCATAAAGGGAATTCATCAAAGGTCATGAGCCAAGATTTAACCAACACTTTTCTCCACTATGAAAGCGTCCAATGATGGAGGAAGCTGGTAGAAACAGGCTGCAAAGTGTCTGGGAATAGATCAGTAGTTCAGCTTCCAGCAGGCAGCAGCCACAGAAGGCTTTGATAGATGTTGGATTGTGATCAACGTCAGACTAAAAACACAGAGATGTTTTACTGCAGGTGGGCTTTAAGCCGGCGGGAGGCATTCGGACGGCGCAGGAATCCTTAGTGTGGCTAAATCTGATCAAAGAAGAACTTGGAGACGATTGGCTTTGCCCTCATCTCTTCCGCCTGGGAGCCAGCAGCCTATTGGCTGACATAGAGAGACAGGTGAGAATGCAGTCATGCAGCTAGCATCGTTATTACCACAGCTAATGTTTGGATACTGATGTCTCTGTCCTGTGCGTGCAGATATACCACTACGTGACGGGGCAGTATGCTGCCTACCATGAGCTGCCCATGGCCTGACGACAGGAAGTCGTGTTTTAGTCGTTGAACAGAACGCCTGAAACGCCACGAAAAGCGGTCGCTGAAACAAAGAGACCAGCATGTTTGTTGGGTTAACCATTGATTTCAGTGTCCGCACCATTCAAATGACTAATGATGAAATAAATCATTTATTTCGACTCTGCTCTGATGATTCTCTCCAGAAATAAAGAAGCTGAATGTTGAATGATGACCAAGTTTTACACACGAAAACAACCAGATCGCATCACCTTTAATAAATAAAGAATCTCCCCCACCTTTAGAGACATTATGAACGTTTTTACAGATAAATATATTTACAATAGTCTTTTTATTTGACCCTTTGAGTCGCTAGTTCAGTATCTATAAACTGGAGCCTATTTCCTAAATTAACTTCAGATGATGACCAACTTTTAAGCATGAAAACAACCAGATCACATCACCTTTCGTAAATCGTGAATCCCCACTTTGTCATTTTCTACACACACAGTGAATACGAAATGAAATTTTGTTTAGGGCAGCTTTCATGGCATTTCCATTTCTAAAGACTGCAGTGATAAAATGCAGTGATAAAACAGCACTTTAAAAAAATTATTTTATTCCAACAGTTCATTAGTGTGATGGCGGTGGGGAAGAAGCTGCTGCAGAACCTGCTGGTCCTGCATTGAATGCTGTGAAGCCTCTTCCAAGAGGGCAGCAGGGAGAACAGTCCATGGTGGGGGGGTGAGGGGTCATTGATGATGTCACGGGCTCGGGACACGCAGCGCTGGAATAAAATGTCTTTAATGGAGGGAAGAGGAGCCCCCATGATCCTCTCTGCTGTTCTCACCTTCTTCCAGTCTGAGGCGCTGCAGCCTCCACACTACACAGTGAGACAGCTGGTCAGAACGCTCTCTATGGTGCTTCTGGAGAAGATGGGGGGGGGGGCTCTCCTCATCCTCCACAGGAAGTCCAAGCGCTTCTGGGCCCTTTTGACCAGTGAGGTGGTGTTTCCAGTCCAGGTGAGGGTGCCTGGGATGAATCTGGTGCTGCTGACCACCTCTATAGCTTTTAGAGACATTATGAAAGTTTTTACTGAAAAATATCTTTACAATAGCCTTTTATTTAACCCTTTATGACTAAAACATTGTTTGATGCAGACTAACGCCTCAGTAGTTCAGTATCTATAAAGTGTTTCCTATTTTCCTAAATTTACTTTGGGTCAGACGTTCCCGCACTTTTTGGAGACCTAGCAAACAAAGAGTAGCCCAACTTAAGGACTGGATTCTGGCATCCCTGATCTGAGCAACCTATCAGGACCCCCTGCAGTGTGCTTATCGCCATGGAGATGGAGTTGATGATATCATCCACCTGCTTCAGCCAACCCACTGTCAGTTAGACAAGGCAGACAGCAGAGGATCATGGTCTTTGATTCCTCCAGAACATTTAACACCATTCAGCCTCAGATGGAGATGAGGACTCAGGTGGAGGCATCAACATTTACCTGGATCAAAGACTACCTGACAGACAGACTGAAGGCTCAGCTGTCTGATCCAGCAGCTCAGGAGCACCACAGGGGACGGTACTCTCTCCATTCCTTTTTCCTCTGTTCACCTCTGACCTCCAGGACCAGACAGAGTCCTGTCATCTGCACAAATACTGGATGACTGCAGTCATTGGGAGCATCAAAGATGGTCTGATTATAGGCAGATATCTGATCCACTTCAGGAGTGAAAAGACTGTTTTAAAGCAGTTTGGAGATCTGGGACACGTCAGCTCTCTGACAAACACAGCAAAGGTTATTTCTGTTGTAGATGAGGGAGTGAATTCATAGATGTTATCCCTTACTGGTAGAACGGAGAATATTTGCTTTGAGGTGAAGGAGCAGGATCCTAGGAGGAGGAACAGGTTCCTGGAAGCTGGTAGGAGAATGTCCTTTCTCCAGGAGTAATTCAGGCGAAGGTGGAGGAGGATGAGGAGGTTCGGCCTGAGCAGGAGTGGATTTAAGAAAAGACAACACATAAAACAGCCCCATTCTACAGATAGAGAAATGTTAATAGAATAGACATCCATTATCTGTTCTAGGTTGTGTCCCTCTCTTCTTGTCCCTTTTCTTCTTGTTTTCCTCTCTATGTTTTGTACTCAGCTGACTTTTCATGCTGTCTCTAAAGGAATGAAAGATTTTTTCCAAGCACTAAGCTCACTTAGCTGATTGCTCCTTCCTGTGTTTCCAAAAAGGCCAAAGTAAATAACCCAGTCCTTCTTTTCACTGTAGACAAGCCATGATCTGCTTCTCTGTTCTCCATTTTTCATTTGGATGAAATAATAGCTGCATGAATCATGACAGCAGACAAGATAGAGGAGAGCAGGAGGCGGGGTTACCAATCTTCTGGCTCTGGAGAGCAGAGTTCGCTGCTTTTAGATGTTGTCTCCAAAGTCTCCAGTAGCAGAAAAAGTCTCTAGATTTGGCGCTAGGAGCTTTTTAGAAATCAAAGTTCTAGAGGGGTCTGAAAAGTGGCTAAATATAGCGACTAAAGCGCTAAGTTAGCAACACTGCTCTTTGCATGGTTTGTTTTCAAATGGTTTGCTGCTGTCTGTTTGGACCTTTCTGAACATGTGCAGCAAATGGACTGATCCAATATGGTGGACACTGAAGGGGGGGCTGAGACACACTTAATATTATCAGCGTTCTGATGGCATTTTAGTGAAAGGATTTTTTATCAAAAACATAATTAATGTGCAGAAATACGGAATAGTTGTATTAACCATACATGGAAACAGAGTTTCATGAGGCCCCCAGGAACTTGGGTCCTTAGGCAGCTGCCTGGTATTATCTAATGGTAAACACTGGTAGGAAAAGATGAGGCGGCCCCCAGAGGGAGCCAGACTCCAGGATCCAGACATGGTCCAGAAGCTGAGAACTGCTTCATGGTGTGGAAACAATCATCTGATCTGAATGATGAACTAAGCAGAGTTCTTGCAGATTTCAGAAGAATTATTCATAAAATAAGGAACATTATGGACAAAGTCAGCATCGTCTTCAGAGGATTGCTAAACAACAGCAGGGAAGCGCTGATGTGTTTCTGCTACAGCTAGAAACACATCAATAACTCTTTAAAAAATAGTGAGGAGTTATTTGAAACATTTGACTTTCCGTTGGGATTATTAGAATATTTTTTAATTCTCCAATTTAAGCCTATTTTGTGTTTGCCGTTGAAAATCTGACAAAATGGCTTTAAATTTGACAGGTAATGTAAAAAATAACCCCTCTTTCTTTTGCATCAAACAATCCAAAATATCAAACATCTACCAGAAAACAATATAGTCTGTTAGCTTTTCCACATCTGCCTTAAAGTCGAGTTCTTCTTCTCCTGCAGGAAGAAAAGATTGATTGGAATCAACAGAGAATCTCAGCTGAAGCTGTAAACTAAAGCTTCTCTGCAGGACGTTGGCTTCAGAAGGTGATGCTGCTGTTCTGGGAATAATCCGACAGAAACCTGATTTTTCTATGTTGTATCAGGCTGAACTATTGCGATGGGTGAGAGATTCAAAGCTTGCCCATGTGCAAACATTCATGAAAGGTCATTTGCAGCAATTTTCTCTGCATGCTTGGATTTGTTAACTGATCCTGACGGCCAAAATGGCCATCTGTTAGATGTTACTTTGCTACATCAAAAGGAGGACTTCTTACACCCAGAAAACAAAAACTAACTCTCTGTGGAATCCACAGCATTCTGTTGTTAGTTTAATGCCGTACATATTAGAAAACGAAAACAACCTCAATGCATTTTTTTAAATACTCATGTACACTCACCGGCCACTTTATTAGGTACACCTGTCCAACTGCTCGTAAACACTTAATTTCTAAGCAGCCAATCACATGGCGGCAACTCAGTGCATTTAGGCATGTAGACATGGTCAAGACAATCTCCTGCAGTTCAAACCGAGCATCAGTATGGGGAAGAAAGGTGATTTGAGTGACTTTGAACGTGGCATGATTGTTGGTGCCAGAAGGGCTGGTCTGAGTATTTCAGAAACTGCTGATCTACTGGGATTTTCACGCACAACCATCTCTAGGGTTTACAGAGAATGGTCCGAAAAAGAAAAAACATCCAGTGAGCGGCAGTTCTGTGGGCGGAAATGCCTTGTTGATGCCAGAAGTCAGAGGAGAATGGCCAGACTGGTTCGAGCTGATAGAAGGGCAACAGTGACTCAAATAACCACCCGTTACAACCAAGGTGGGCAGAAGAGCATCTCTGAACGCACAGTACGTGGAACTTTGAGGCAGATGGGCTACAGCAGCAGAAGACCACACCGGGTGCCACTCCTTTCAGCTAAGAACAGGAAACTGAGGCTACAATTTGCACAAGCTCATCGAAATTGGACAATAGAAGATTGGAAAAACGTTGCCTGGTCTGATGAGTCTCGATTTCTGCTGCGACATTCGGATGGTAGGGTCAGAATTTGGCGTCTACAACATGAAAGCATGGATCCATCCTGCCTTGTATCAACGGTTCAGGCTGGTGGTGGTGGTGTCATGGTGTGGGGAATATTTTCTTGGCACTCTTTGGGCCCCTTGGTACCAATTGAGCATCGTTGCAACGCCACAGCCTACCTGAGTATTGTTGCTGACCATGTCCATCCCTTTATGACCACAATGTACCCAACTTCTGATGGCTACTTTCAGCAGGATAATGCGCCATGTCATAAAGCTGGAATCATCTCAGACTGGTTTCTTGAACATGACAATGAGTTCACTGTACTCAAATGGCCTCCACAGTCACCAGATCTCAATCCAATAGAGCATCTTTGGGATGTGGTGGAACGGGAGATTCGCATCATGGATGTGCAGCCGACAAATCTGCGGCAACTGTGTGATGCCATCATGTCAATATGGACCAAACTCCCTGAGGAATGCTTCCAGCACCTTGTTGAATCTATGCCACCAAGAATTGAGGCAGTTCTGAAGGCAAAAGGGGGTCCAACCCGTTACTAGCATGGGGTACTTAATAAAGTGGCCGGTGAGTGTATAATTTATCAGCAAAAAGGTTCAAGTCTGCATGGCCAAGCAGAGATAGTGGAAAATGTGTCTTTAAGAGGAGAAAGAAGAGGCCCCTAAAGGAGATCTATAATAGAACTAGGTTAACCATCTGAAGCCCTAAGGTCCATTTTCCAAACAATGCAGAC